CCCCCCCCCCCCCCCCAAAAAAAAAGGCAATGTTTGACTGAAAACTCGGGAAATGAAATAAACCAATAAATCACAAAACAAATATAGGTTGGATAACTTTTCATATCATGAATTCGGGAGAGGAGCTTTCGGGTTTGAACATTTTCTTAGTGGGTTCATCGCAACCTGAGGGACATAATAGACTAGACCTTGAATTAGGCCCATTGTACCAGGTATTGATGAAATCACACACAATATGTCTTCATCTATTGAGCAAAGCGGGTTGAGCGTTAAAAGTCATGCTCACAATAACCGACTCATGAGAGTTTCTAAGGGTTAGTCCTCCCCTACCCCTAACCGCGACCATAACGATTCCTCTCACATAGGTAAGCCCTCCAACGGTACTACAGCTAGATATCATACCCTCCACAATACACGCGTAGGACTTATTAAGAGTAAGACTCAACCTAACCAGATGTATCATAAGAGCATCGTCAAGTAACAAATGCTATCATAATGACATTTTTAAAGTTTTATGGTGACAACTCATCTCATCTCATCTCATCTCATCTCATATTCTTTGATTTCCTTCTTTTTTTTTAGCCATCCAAACAACCATAATACAAGATTTCATATTCTTTGATTTCCTATTCTTTAATTTCCCAAATTTTTTGGCAAACAAACAGCCCCTTAGTGGAATTTATCCAATTATTCATTGACCAATGGTATTTAATATTTCCGTCATTGAATGAGTTAGTACGCGCTTGCTCTCATGGAGCTGATTATTAACTAGTAATTAATTGGCGAGGGAACGAAAGAAAGACACGTATCATTGACAAGGACACGGGGTAAAAGTGGACAATTTTTAAAGACTTGCTACATGGATAAAAAAATAAAAAAAAAGGAGACACGGTAACAATATTTAAATAGTGTATCTAGCTACGATGATGGGACCCATGTGACATAATGAAGATATATGCAGAATAACTTTGTTATCTGTGGATTGTAGATATATCTTTCTTGTATTTAACGGGATAAATTGAAACAGCCCCAAAGTGTGATACATTCTTTCCATCACGCTTTAATCATTGTCTCGATTTCATTAAGACCAGTTACATTTATCCACACGGACCACACCTTTATATGACTCCTCGTTGTTTTGTGCGTGTAGCTGTGTGGGATTTTTTTTATTCTTTCTTTTTGTGGTGGTGGTGACAGCTATAGTTTTCCTATGAATTAAACTTCCAATTTGTTTGCTCAGATGGTGGTAGACTAGCAAAGTCAACACTTCACCGGTCAACATGGGGTCCAATATTAGCTCCCCCCATTCTACATTCAAAAATGATAGAGGCACACCATGTGCCACACCCTCAGCCACACTCCCCTCTCTCTGCTACAGTAACCAGGGTCCACATGAGATTTTATATAAATCTCATGTGGGTCCCGGTTACTGTAGCAGAGAGATGAGAGTGTGGCTGAGGGTGTGGCACATGGTGTGCCTATAGTGTCACTCTTCTACATTATGCAGTAAGGATCTTGATATATGTACAGTTGTGGTGCCATTATATACTGATATGCACGGTTAGCCAAAAAAAAAAGTGCAGAGAGATTATTACTTTTTAACAATAATCATCTACTATGTAGTGGATATTTTTACGGATGAAGGACATCTTCGCTTTTCTGGTTAAGATTAAAATCTCAAGAGGCTTAGTGGGGTAAAAATAAGTTCAGGAGGATTACGTGCGCACGAAACACAGATGCGCTCAAAGCTCAAAGTTTGTTGTGGAATTAAAATAGTTCAGGGTGTCATATGGGAAACTACCCAAAATGAGGGTTTTTTTTAATGTTTTATTTTTTATTTTATTTTCCATGATGCCAGGAGTGTGCTGTGGTCTACTTCCTTTCCTTTGGAAAAATAAGTGAGGAAGGAAATGAGGAACCAAAAGACGATCAATCATTTGATAAAGGCATGAACTCAAAGCGGAGAATTTTTTAAGACTTGCTCATACAGGGCGAAGTTTGTATTTCAAGAAGAAAAAGTAATAATAATAAAATAAAGGAAAAATTACTTCAATGCCCCAAAATTGAAAAAACAATGTGCAACAGCCCCCTGTACTTTTAATGTTTGGTATAAACCCAAAATACACTTCAAAAGTTTACTTCAGCCCCTCCAGCTCACGAGAGTGAGCTGTAATTCTCAGAAACCCGACTCTACCCTTCCCATATTTGATAGGGTAAAAGGAGGGGAAAAAAAAGTTAACATTCATATGTAAAGGATATGGATACAAATATATATACATGTCGATAAGTTTCATCGGTTCCTCCTGTATATCATTTAGATTATATACTCTTTGAGTTTTATTGGTTTCTCTCGTATCTAATTTATATCTATCCAAATCGAATCTGGTATGCATATATTAGATTTTGGTGTATAGGTAAATGAATTTTAATTTCTTGTCAAAACGTATCGGTATTCGTACTCGTTACCCATTAGTGATTAACAAATGAATACAAATACGATAAATATCATATCCAGTCTATGCTCAACAGCTTGCACCCTTTTGAGGTGATCCACATCAAAGCAAAATGACGGCCTTCTTGTCGTGTATGTCCGAGAATCCTTCTTGCTTGGAATGCAACTGTCGAGCGCTACTAACTCTTCCAGGCTTGAAAGTGAGATTTGAATTGAAGTGGTTCGGAGGATGACTAACCAAAAGGGTGGACTATGCTAAGTTGACTTGAAGTCTGTTATCAAGTATAAGAATAAGCGTACAAACTCAAAACTTCTAAACTTTCGATTACTACCTTTCACTTAGAATAATATGAATTAGGAGGATATATACTTTTGAGAAATTAGATTAAGATTGTCACTGTCAAAAACGCCCCAGAAACAGGGTTGGTAATATAAATTAGATTAAATTATAGAGGGTTAACTCACTTTAATCCTTATTTATATTTTTTGTGTTTGGCAGGATAAGAAGGGGTTAAGTCTCATTAACCTCTCACTTAACCTTTTGCCAAACGACACCTTAATGACCTAAACTTAATAGCATTTGGTCACATTAGTAATGCTTAATTAGGTTAAAATGATGGTGTTCCCCGCATCGACCTTATGGTACGGGCCGGGACTCCCATATATTTTGTGAGGTATTAATTTTAAAGGTTTCTCATACCATTAATTGTCATAATCATGAAAATTCCTATACCCTTTGGACGAAATTGGGCTGCAATTAATTTTTAATTTGCCTTGGGGAAATCCATGTCTTGAGAGGAAGAATTTTTTCTCGGAGGCAAAAGAGAGAGTAGAGGTTTTTTCCTTTTCGTTTATGTGTTTTCCGAAGCTCACACTAGGGTTGTATTTATAGGGTTGAGAAACCCTTAGCCATTGAGAATCCCCACAGAAAATAAGGTAAAGTTCGCCAAATTCGCGCGACTGTTTGCACGCTTTCTAAAAACCGCGCAGCCGATATGAACTTCGTGCGCGTTTTCCACATTGCTAATTGCCAAGAGAAAGAAAAAAACATGTGGCAAAGCGGGCGCACCATGGCGTGGCGAGGCGAGGCGTGCGCGTGTGATATGCAAAGCCCAAACAATTGAAAGCCCAAAACACCCCCCCTTATTAGCTTCTTCTTCTTTTTCCCCTTCTTTTTTCTCTTCTTTTTCCCCTTCTTTTTTCTCTTCTTTTTCCCCTTCTTTTTTCTCTTCTTTTTCCCCTTCTTTTTTCTCTTCTTTTTCCTTGTTAGCTTCTTCTTCTTTTTCCCCTTCTTTTTTCTCTTCTTTTTCCCCTTCTTTTTTCTCTTCTTTTTCCCCTTCTTTTTTCTCTTCGACCGCAGATGCACTGATCAAATCTGCGAAGCACATCTTCTTTCTAAGCTTGATCGTTAGGGCCGCCGAGTCGATACCATCGCCGATAACCACGATTTTCTCTCCATCTACTTGTGCAGATATGACACCTAAACGCAGAAAAGAAAAACATGCATGTGTTTGGTAAACTTAGCTAGCCAGATTAAACCAACAGAAACATATAATCTTAGTTTGAAATTATGTACCAGGCTGCCCAACGGCTACCGTGAGCGCTTTTGTTCGCCTCTTTGCATTTTCCATTGTGACCTTGATCTCAATTTTTTGCTGCGTACGGAATTTGATGCGTCAAACACATGATCATGAGGCTGGCTACTAGTTAGTTCCAACTATGCTATACATGTATAAATCTCATTTAGGATATATATGAAATAAAACTAATGGACAGATCGAGTTTGGGGAGATCTTAATTCCTGCTCACCTTGCCCATGATGCTGGTGTAGGTGTTACTCAATTTATGCCTTGAGAATTGAGATGTGGGAATTAAGTGGAATATGAGATTCTCTCAAATTCATAACCCCTATATATAGGGATTTCTGTGTGTGTGTGTGTGTGGGTTCTTCAGTTGACGTGGTCGCAGTGTTGTGGCTAGCTAGTAAATTATACAATCTGGGTCTTAAGTCAATTAGTTTTAAAATGTGACGCAAAAAATACAAAATGACGGCATTCGTTGAATGACCTTTTTTAGGCTGGCGGGGCGGGCCATAGATTTGGAGCGCTTGCGAGGTGGGTGAGGTGAGGTCTCTTTTAGATAGCAAAGATTTTGGGAGATCGATGTTATTATAATTTGTATGACTCTATATTATCATACAAATCTTTTCAGAACATCCCTCCCTCGCCTCGAGATAGCTAATTTTAACCCTCCCTTTAATTTCTTTTGGATGGATGCTCTGTAGAAACGGCGAACACATTGACGAGGTTCAGGAAATTTGAAGCTGGGAACATTTTGAGCGTTGTCCGGCCGACCGCCGAGTTCGTCACGGTCGACCGCAAAACGTGCACGAGTACATGATAGTTTCTGGAGTTCTGGTCGGTCGACCGCGACGTTAGGTCCGGTCGACCGCCAATTCTTGTAATGGTTTTCTGGATTAGGTGGCACTAGGGGCACACCCCCAACCACAACTCCAACCACACATCCTCTCTCAGTACGTCGGGCCTCACATGAGATTTTAAATTTTTAAAATCCCATATGGGGTCCGGTGCACTGTAGCTAATGAGAGAGGGTGTGGTTGGGGGGTGTGCCCCTATCATTTTCCTTTTGGATTTTGTCGTTCTGTCCGGTCGACCGCGAGCTTTGGCGCGGTCGACCGCGAGTCGAGTTCGGGTCTGTTTTGATTTCCTATTATGTTTGGGATTTGTGTTTGGTATAAATACCAACACACGTTTTAGGGTCTCTTTGGCTTTGATTAGGCTTGTTGTAAGGATATTTGGAGCACAGAAAAGAGGTATTTTCTGAGCTATTGGTTAGGGTTTTGTTTGGAGAGAATTAGAGATTTGTTTGTGAGATTAGTTGGTTAATTGGAGTGATTTTGTAATCTCACTTTGTACTCTTTTTCTCTATTAGTGAAAATCCCACACCCTTCTTGCCCCGTGGACGTAGGCAACTTGCCGAACCACGTTAAAATTGGTTGTTTGTGTTTGTGTCATTACTTTGGTTTGTTTGGCCTTCTCCCTCGGCGTTTGTTTTGGTTCCTCGAAGCACTTGAATGACCTTTTTTAGGCTGGCGGGGCGGGCCATAGATTTGGAGCGCTTGCGAGGTGGGTGAGGTGAGGTCTCTTTTAGATAGCAAAGATTTTGGGAGATCGATGTTATTATAATTTGTATGACTCTATATTATCATACAAATCTTTTCAGAACATCCCTCCCTCGCCTCGAGATAGCTAATTTTAACCCTCCCTTTAATTTCTTTTGGATGGATGCTCTGTAGAAACGGCGAACACATTGACGAGGTTCAGGAAATTTGAAGCTGGGAACATTTTGAGCGTTGTCCGGCCGACCGCCGAGTTCGTCACGGTCGACCGCAAAACGTGCACGAGTACATGATAGTTTCTGGAGTTCTGGTCGGTCGACCGCGACGTTAGGTCCGGTCGACCGCCAATTCTTGTAATGGTTTTCTGGATTAGGTGGCACTAGGGGCACACCCCCAACCACAACTCCAACCACACATCCTCTCTCAGTACGTCGGGCCTCACATGAGATTTTAAATTTTTAAAATCCCATATGGGGTCCGGTGCACTGTAGCTAATGAGAGAGGGTGTGGTTGGGGGGTGTGCCCCTATCATTTTCCTTTTGGATTTTGTCGTTCTGTCCGGTCGACCGCGAGCTTTGGCGCGGTCGACCGCGAGTCGAGTTCGGGTCTGTTTTGATTTCCTATTATGTTTGGGATTTGTGTTTGGTATAAATACCAACACACGTTTTAGGGTCTCTTTGGCTTTGATTAGGCTTGTTGTAAGGATATTTGGAGCACAGAAAAGAGGTATTTTCTGAGCTATTGGTTAGGGTTTTGTTTGGAGAGAATTAGAGATTTGTTTGTGAGATTAGTTGGTTAATTGGAGTGATTTTGTAATCTCACTTTGTACTCTTTTTCTCTATTAGTGAAAATCCCACACCCTTCTTGCCCCGTGGACGTAGGCAACTTGCCGAACCACGTTAAAATTGGTTGTTTGTGTTTGTGTCATTACTTTGGTTTGTTTGGCCTTCTCCCTCGGCGTTTGTTTTGGTTCCTCGAAGCACATCGATTGTTTTGGCTTCCGTGCACAACATGCTCACCTATACCAAGATTAATAGAAGATACCAACGTTTTCTTTATAGTACTAGTCCCAGTTTAGTCGATCTAATGGCGGCTGCCCTTTTACAAAAAACTTTATATTACTTCGTGCAATGTTTTCAATGTGATCGTTGGCACTATGCAAGTCTGGCAGTGGTTATGGGGTGGCTGGGGAGGGGTGCAGAACCGTATCCGCATTTGTAAATATATGCGCAACCGTATTAATTAGAATACAAATATATTTATTCTAATCTATAACTTAGAGGACATGGTTATCCACTGAAACGTCCGGGATGCGTATGCGGAATACCCGAATATATATTAACCATATATAACTCGATTTATTTCAATCCTTAAAGAGTAATGAATTTGAGACCAGTTGCTTTTCAATATCCGTTTTGTATCCGCATGTATTTTCGTATCCGTATCTGATTTAGCGGATATGCTTATGAATTTTACTTATCGAAACGTATCCTTGTCCGTATCCATACCCGTGATTGGAAAGAGGATGTCAATGGTAAGTGTCATGTCTGAGCCGTATCGGGGCCGTTTTCACCCTTAGTGCTGGGTGCTGGGTGCTAACCATGTTGAAGTGCTAATCACACCAATACAGGGACAAAGTAAGTGTTTTAATTTGAACTGTAATATCATGTATGCGCTGATTGGACTGAGGATTGAGCATCAGGGATCAGGTACAGGGTCACGAGGTTTGTCGGTAGGGTCTCATCCTGACGTTACCAATACGTTGATGATATCTCCAGCTATAGAATGAGATTTGCTGTGGTGATAAATGTGTTGATGTGCTTTGTGCCAAAGTATATTTCAAGCTTGAAAGGCAATGAGAACAGCTGCTTACATAAAAATTAATGGAATAGAAGATTCTGCAAACGAGTCAAGATCATTTGTCCCTGAATTATTAACACAAGCTTGGAGCTCAAGTTTTAGATGAATTTGACTTCAAAATGTGCAAAATGTGATTAATTTTACTTTCATGAATGATTTCTTAATTATCAAATCAAGGATGAATACATCATCTATGCTTATGTCATGATTAATAAAGCTAAAGATGGAAAGTGACTCGACAATTCATAATCAACTTGACAATTATCAATTGAAGAACCAGGCTACTAAATCTTAAAATTCAATACAAAATTTAAGCAAGAATCTTAGTTTAGTATATGACATTTTTAAGCCCGTAAATGAGGCTAGCATGCGAAGGCCTATTTAGCTACCAAAACTAAGCCCAGTTGTAGGTGTGGGCCTAGTCCAATTGGAATGGCCCATCAACAAAGCCTAGTCCTTCACCTCTGAATAGAAGGGGAATAAGAAGAAGAAGTTGAAGAATTTTTTTTCCTTCTTCTTGTGCAATGGATGTAACTTTGTATTAATACTTCGTAACTATATTTTATATGATTTAACAAAGAATATAGGGAAAAAAATTATTCTATCTTAATGGCTAAGATCATATGTTTTACTCAATTTAAGATGTTGCAACAATCTGAATTTTGAGTATATATAGTTTTAACAAAAGATTTGGATCATATTATGCAGGTGCAACGATATAAATCAGATTTAGAATGAATCATAATCACTCAATTTATTATTAATTTGTGTTATATAAAATAATAAACTTGTTTTATCAGATAGTTACAAAAAAATCCATTAAGTGTCAGATTTAGAATGAATCGTAATCACACGCTATATAAATCAACAGTTATGATAAATATAAAGGTCTCTCAACTTTTTTTTTTTATTTGATAGAAGAGAGGATCCAAATCCATTTTAATTTTTAAGTTTGGCAAGTACAAAGCAATGTTAATAAACTTTTAAATTGAGTAGGAATTAGTTGTAGTATTTTACTTCAAAATGCCTCCTAATTATTTTAGTTTCCCTTCTCAAATCAAATTTCTTTCTAAACTATAAAGCTAATCAGCAACGACAGTTTGTTCAAAACAGTTAATATCTAAAATCTCTTTAATCTTTTTGAACTACAAAAAAGTATTCTCTAAAATTCATTAGTTTTTCTAGTTATAAAAGAATGGGGTTATGATCTTTAAAAAATAAAAGAAAAAGGAGGCTAACGAAAAGCAGGGGAAAAAGATAAATCATATAATTTGAGATTTATGACAAATATAAACCCTGAAACTACCTCAAGATTATCCAATTTCTCTTAATTTTCACATTAAAATTAGAACCTAGAGTTATGAATATTTACATTTCCGATTTTATCCACCAAATCAAGGGTTAGCTGAAAATACCTCAAATTTTAATGTGCACGTACAACAATCATAATCCTTAATTTACCAAATCATACAACACGTGGATTCATCTTAAATAAGCATTCATTAATGAACATCAACTACAGTTATTTATTTATTTATTTATTTGATAAAAATCAACTATATTTAATTAATCTTATCCTTATTTAACTAACTGATTTATATCTGTTATTAAGGTACGATATAAAAAAAGTTATACTCCTTGATTCTCTCAACTAAAGTTTTCAACCCCTGAAGAATTTCTTCATTAAAAAATCTCCCCATGAAGGTCTCTATATAAACAGAGAGAAAATAGAACGGAGATAAAGGAGAGAAAAAAAAAAGAAAAGAAAAGAAAGAAAGAAAGATGAGTATTGAGAGAAAAAGCTCTGCATTCACTATCTTGCTCTCTTTCTTCCTATTTTTCTCTTCAACTTTTGCAGCGAAAAAGGCAAGCATTTGGTTCTTGTCTCTTTTTTTTTGGGGGGGAATTCGATATGAAAGTTATTTATGTTAAATTTTTTTTCCCGTTATTTTTTAGCCTTATATTGTGTATTTGGGAGGGCACTCGCATAGCAAAGATGAGATCTCTCCTCTTACTGATGAGAAAGTTACGAATACTCACCATGAAATCTTAGGATCAGTCCTTAAAAGGTACATAATTTTAGATATTGTTTATTTTTTGTTATGGAAAAACATGATTTTGTGATAATTTTTTTTTGACGTAATATTAACGTTCAGTAAAGAGAAGGCCAAAGATGCAATATTTTACTCATATACAAAATACATTAATGGGTTTGCTGCCATTCTTGAAGAGGATGAAGCAATGGAGATCTCAAGTAAGTTACTCACTTACAACTTTGCATACATTGTCATATTGAATAATTTAATAGTTTTATATTTTCATAAAAGAAAATAATTCTGATTTATATCTGTTTTTTCAGAGTATTTAGGTCTTGTTTATGTATTTCAACTAAGTTTCTTAATTTAGAACTTTACATACATTGTGATATTGAAGAATTTAATGGGTTTAAAGTTACATAATTATTCAGAAAAACAAATTGCATAATTCTTTTTTTTTAATTTGATTTGTTATTTTTTTCCCCCATGGCAGAGCATCCAGGGGTTGTTTCCGTATTTCCAAGCAGAGCATATAAGCTTCATACAACTCATTCATGGGAATTTCTTGGGCTTGAGAAGGATGGAAAAGTTCCCAAGAAATCTCTATGGACGAAAGCTAATTTTGGTGAAGATGTGATCATTGGAAATCTAGACACCGGTAAGTTTATATATCACCTTTGATAATAAGTCGTTTTTTTTTAATAAATGTTTTGATCAATTTTGATATTTTAATAGCTTGAAATTTTGATTACTTTTCTTCTGTACGTTAGGGGAAAAAAAACAATAAAATTATTGTTTCTAGAAAATAGATTTGTGGTCTGGTGCAAACGAAGTTTGGATACAGAACTTGACTTTGATTTGTTATTGATAGACACTTATTTTAATGTTAGAATAGATATCTATGGTCAAATAATTAACCTAAGTTGACTATATCTTAGAAGATAACATATGGATGATATTTTAAGAGAAGTATATGCAAATTATACCTCTTGACTTGCTTTAATCTTTTACCAAATTTCATACACTAATAGCCCCTAACATATTGGGGACCTCATTATTTGTAGAAAAGAACAGAATAATGATCTAGAAGCTCATAATTTTCACCATTGAAGAAAACAAATAGCCACGTTATCCGCATATAGGAACTTAATTTCAAATATTATTATTATTTTAGTTCTAGGTACCTAAATGTTACTAATCCATCTTTTTCATTCTCTTTCTAACTTATTATTTGCTACTTTTTCAAGGTTTTTTTTTTAAAAGTTAGTCAAACATTTTCATGTTGTTTTTTGTTGTTTGTAGGTGTGTGGCCAGAATCTGAAAGCTTCAAGGATGATGGTATGGGATTTATCCCTTCAAGATGGAAGGGCGTATGCCAAAATGACTCCGAAGAGAAATTCTCATGCAACAGGTATGTATAAATTAGAGTTATTTGCACTTAACTACCCTAAAATTCACGCCATTTTTTACTTTGATACTTCAAAGTTTCTTGTGTCCATAAAACCCCAAAAATTTCAAAAAAATCAAAAAAAAAGTGCAAATAACCCTTTTCATTAAACTATTCGCGCCTCTATCCTATTTTTTTTATAATTTTATTTGGGCCAACTTTCCTAAAAGATTTTTCTGCGGTTTTTTCTTCCTGGTTTGGATCCTCTTCATCAATTCAAAAAAGTAATGTAGATATCACTATTTTGATAACAACTATTGATTATTTAATGGATGGTTAAGATGCTTTCTAAATCTATCGCTCAACGTACCCCATAAGTTGCACTCAATCTATTATATTTTTTAAATAAATTGAAATGATTTTGTAAGATAAACTGCGCTTATCGTAGTTGCGTGAAATTAAATGATTACATGGGCCAAATTGGAAAAACGTGACTTCCGAGCAACTGAAATAACTGTCAACTAACCGTCCCGTACATCTCTACCGTTCGATCAAATCACCGAACCCGAAACCTCCGAGCCTAACCGTCCGATTTTCCCATATATAGGAAGCTCATCGGGCCGGTACTTCAACAAGGGCGCCATCGCCGCCGGCGAAAAGATCAACTCCACCTTCAGCTCGCCGCGTGACACAGAGGGCACGGACCCACACCCTCTCCACCGCCGGCGGAGGGCCGGTCCCAGGCGCCAGCACCAACGGTTTCGCAACGGGACGGCCAAGGGCGGGTCCCCCAGGGCCCGCGTCGCGGCCTACAAGGTCTGCTGGCCGGCCGGGATGCTACGACACCGACATCATGGCCGGGTTCGAGGCGGCGATCCACGACGGGGTCGACGTCCTGTCGGCGTCCATCGGGGGGGCCGTAGCGGACTACTTCCGCGACGGGATCGCCATCGCGTCGTTCCACGGCGGTCAGGAACGGGAACGGTGGTCGCGTCGGCGGGTAGCGTCCTTGATCCGGGTTCGGCCACGAACATCGCTCCGTGGTTGATAACCGTTGGGGCGAGCACGATGGACAGGGAGTTCTCTTCTTACCTCTCTATTAACAAGAAGCACTACAAGGTTGGTTAGTTTCCTACAAGCTACAACTTTTTCTCTAATTATTGCCACTTTCATGATTTTATTGTAAAAAATAAAATGCTCGTGATTTATGTAAAAAATAAAATTTAATATGAATGTTGCTTTTTATTCCTTTTTAACAAAAAAAAAAAATTACGTTTTTCAAAATGTTTTTAGGGGCAGAGCATGTCTCTTAGCTCTTTACCCGGCAACAGGTTCTACCCAATGATCACCTCCTCAGATGCCAGATCAGCCGATGCGCCTCTCAATACCTCGTACGGTTAACAAATTACCTCACATTATTCCATTTTTCTCAAAAAAATAAAAACACTAATCTTAATTTTCTTCTCCTCCATCTACCGAACTGCAGTCAGCTGTGCTTCATCGGACATCTCGACCCAGAAAAAGTGAAGGGAAAGATTGTTGTGTGCCTCCGTGGAATCAACGCGAGGGTCGACAAAGGGGTCGCCGTTAAGCAGGCCGGAGGAGTCGGAATGGTCCTGGCGAACGACGAGAGCACCGGAGACGAGCTCATCGCCGATGCTCATGTCCTTCCGGCTGTGCACGTATCTTATTCCGACGGTGTTCAAGTTTTCTCCTACGTCAACAACACCAAGTAATCAGCCTCTCTTCTACGTATTTGGAATTAAATGTCATGTGATGTTGATTTATTTGCCTTATAATAAGACCATTTTTATGAAATATATAGCGAAATAGACCACTTTGAAAAATAATTAGCAAAATAGACCTCTTTTGAAAAAAAGAGGTCGATTTTGAAAAATAAGGCTCAGAAAACATACGGGACTACTAGTCCCGTATGTTTAGAGCCAACTTAATCACGGATTAGTGACTCAGAAAACATACGGGACTAGTAGTCCCGTATATTTTCTGAGTAGAAAATTTTACTAATCCGTGATTAAAACATATGGGACTACTAGTCCCGTATGTTTTCTGAGCTGTTTTGCAAAATAGACCTCTTTTTGGCCTGTTGGCCAAAAAAAGGTCTATTTTGCTAATTATTTAGCAAAACGGTCTATTTTGCTAAATAATTAGCAAAAACGGTCTATTTTGCAATTTTCCCCATTTCTTTCGCTACTTGTTTTTGTGGGGGTTGTAGCCGGACATAACGGCACCAGGGGTGAGCGTCATCGCTTCGTGGACGGAGTACGTATCGCCCACCGACACCGATGCCCGACCCCTCAAGTACAATTCGGAGTCGGGCACCTCCATGTCGTGCCCCCACGTATCTGGGGTCGTCGGTTTGCTCAAGGCCCTTCACCCTGACTGGAGCCCCGCCGCGATCAGATCAGCGATCATGACTTCTGGTACCAGCATCGAATTGCATACTAATTTATATCGATCGATCAGTAGAAGGGATGCTTAATTTTCAGTTACATTACATTTTTTTTTTTTTGGTTTGGCAGCAAGAGTCAGGGATAACGTCGGGGTTACTACGACCTGGCCGCGAACGACTACCTCAACTTCCTATGCTCCCTCGGCTACAACTCGACTCGTATCAGGACTTTCAGCGTCGAGCCCTACTCGTGGCCCGTCGAAGCCTCTCCGGATCGAAGACCTCAACTACCTTCGATCGCGGTCCAAACCTCTCCGGCCAAGTATCCGTCTCTAGGACGGTCAAGAAGTCGTGCGCCCCCGCACGTACTACGCGCGAGTGAACGCTCCGTTAGGGGTAACGGTGACGGTGGAGCCGTCGACGCTGGAGTTTAGTAAGGTGGGGGAGGAGAAGACGTTCGAGGTGGTGCTGAAGGCGAAGAAGGGTCTGACGGCGGAGTATGCGTTCGGGAGGTTGACTTGGTCTGATGGGGTGCACCATGTGAAGAGTCCTATAGTTGTGAATGCGAAAAATGGTTAGGTTTTTTTGATAAATTTAGGGGGTAGTTTCCATTTTCTATTGTTTTTTTTTAATTTATTTTAGAAGCAAACTATTGTTTTAGTTGAATTTAGGGAACATTGTCTTTTTCGGTATATAGATTCATCAATGCTGAAGTAGAAAGTTGGAAGGATATTCTCCATGGGGTTTGTTCTCTATTTTAAATTTCTTCTAAAAATCTAGCTGTGGATTTGTGATGTAAAGTCATAATTTTATACTGTCATCTTAAAATCCCTTTTAAGTAGAGATTAATGGGTATCCTTGTCATAGAAGGAGATTTTCTCCTTGACGCCTATGTGACACAATCTCCACCATCTTCATAAAGTAAGAGAGAGTGTGCGAATTGATGGGGATTTGTGCCTACCTTATGAAGATGATGGAGATTGTGCCACATAGGTGAAAAGGAGGGAAATCGACTCCTATGACAAGTATACACATTAATCTCTTCTAAATATGAAAGCTCCCAAATTATTATAAGAATTAGTGTTTTATTTTAATTTTGAGTAGCGTTAGGGGGGCCCCAAATATGGAACAGTGGGAGGGGACACGTGAGGTATTCCCTCCCCACTGTATGATACATCGTTCATGATGTTCAAGACTTTTCCCAGAGTATGAAAGCACAAGCCTATCAATACGGCTAACCCTCCCCAGCAAAATCCTCCTATCCCAACGCAAGGAATTTGAGACTCACATTTCTCCTCTTAGGGGCTGTTTGGTTGTTTTCCGAAAAAAATCGGAAATGGAAATGTCACATTTCATTTGATTTCAACCCATTTCAAGAGTTTTCCCACATTTCTTTTTTTGTGTTTGTTTCGCAAAGAAATCACCTCATTTCACCGCCACAAAGAGACAAAAAAAGCCGCAATAGTAACAGTGCACCACATTTCTATTTCTTGTGTTTGTTTGAACAAAAAGCAAAGGAAAGAGAAATCAGCCCATTTAAATAATCTGTTTTATTCAGCTTTACTATTCTAACAGTGCTTTTAGTAATAAATAATTCATTGAAGTGACATTTCCAAGTGTTTTCAGAGGTTTTTGTTGTGAAAACACATTTCTTAAAAAGCTGATGTGGCATCCTACGTGGCGTTTCATTTCTTTAAATTACAAAATGAAACAAACTGAAGAAATGGAAAACCCTTGAAACCAAAATCCTATGTGGCACATAAGAGATTTCTTGAAAGATGATGTGGCGGGTGTTTTCTCATTTTTTTTGACCAAACAAACAGACCCTTATATTAGGCTAAAATCTTTCCATCGTTGAATTGAACAATTTTGTCCATTATTAATGAGAATCATAGGTGGACCTTTCAAGGGGTGCACCTTTTCTTGCTGATGTGGGTCCATCACCAGGCACTTCACACCAAACCTATAGGAGGCAAAAAAAAAAAAATCTTATGGAGTGCAGTCCATGGAAAATCATAAGGAAAGATTGCAGAAAGTGACACGTGTAATTGGTGTAAAACAGTATATTAACCCCTGCAATAAGTAAAAAAAAGTAATAAAAACACATAGAATATCAGTTAAAAAAACCAAAATATTAAATTGAAAAGACAATGCAAATATAGATGCAGTTATCAACTTTAAAATTAATGGCGAGACACATTAATTTCTCAACTTCTCCGTAGAGGAAACAAAACCATGTAATCCGGCCCCTCAGTAGAATGTCATCTATGGAGAAATGTGAGGGTGACACAACTCATATCTTAATGAACACAACACTAATGTTGTTTATATATGGATGGGATCACTGTGGTTTAAAAACTATAGACATGTGACTGCATTGATAATTATTGAACTAATATGTCATATGTAATACCTTAAGAGTGCATTCTATAGGACCTTTTTTCCTCTGCATGATTTTTTTAAGAGGACCCCCTCCGCTGAGGATGTTATTTTTTTCCGACACCCGTCAACAAATAATATCCAAACACAGTCTCACGCTTCACCACAAGCCCACATCCTGCTCTATCTCTTTAACAAAAAAAAAAAAAAAATTGTTCCAACGGTCAACAAAAAAAAAGAGGGAGAAGAAAGCTTATAATTAAGCTTTATTCTCAAACCAACGATGCTCTCTCTTCATCAAACTTCTTCTCTCAATTCTCTCTTCTTGCCAAGTCATCGTAAAATTCAACATTATGGGTTTCCAAGATTTCGAAGGACGTGGAGGAATTCAATGGCCTTGGCCACAAAACCTCTGTTAGAAGATGGGGTTTTGAGGATTGATGGGCGAGATACACTTACGGAGGTGCCCGAAAATGTCGTCGTGTCTCCGGCGATGGAGGGGGCGGTGTACTTGGGGGCGGCGGCCGAGGAGGGGAAGAGCAGCCGCCATGTCTTCAAGCTTGGTGTTCTTAGGTGAGTTCTTGTACGTAGTACGTGTGTTTCAGTCATTTGAGAGTTCATCATGGTTTGTAAGAATTCATCATGGTTTCTTTTGCAATCTTAGTTGGTTTTTTTTAGGGTAAATGGCACATAACCCCCTCACCTATAATTTCACTTAATTTGCACCAAACCCCCCTCGAACCATTTATTCAGATCCCTCTGAATTCATAATAAAGAGGGTGTTACTTGCAATTTATTTTTTCTAAAATCGGCATTTTGCAGTCGTTACGGCTAGGAAATGAGTTGAGAGGATTTGGTAAAACAGTTTTATTAGCACTTTTACCTGTAAAAATCAGGCAGTGTCACTTCCCCCCTCAATTTAGAGAACAACTCAGTCCTTTCTTTCCAGTAAAACTAAAGCTAAAAGATAATTTATCTGTTCTTAGATGTTATGACAATTTTCATCTCTAAAATCAGTTAATATGCAAAAACAAGTGGTTAAAAGAGAACGTACTCCAGCTGAGCATAAGCTTCACTCACAACATCAAGATGGTGAGAATTTCTCTAGCTATTTAGACCTTCACCACAGTATCAGTTATGACAATCTTAGTGTTTGATGAATAATCGAATCGGATCGCTATCTGATAAATAATTCAGATAATTGGGTAGAAACAACACATCTCTTCATTATGTTCCGCGATAAAGCTTAAGCTAAGCTTCTATGTTACATGAAAAGAAAACTATGCTTATGTACATTGGTCTTTTGATGGGTAATTATCTCAATTATACGCAACTGTTAATTGCAGGGATCATCGGCTACTCTCCTTATTTAGATTCAAGATATGGTGGATGATACCGCGAATGGGAAATTCAGCAAGCGATGTCCCAAAAGAAACACAAATGTTGCTCTTGGAAGCAAAAGGCGATAAAAATGAAACATTCTATATCGTGTTATTGCCTGTATTGGATGGGCTCTTTAGGACCAGTTTGCAAGGGAATTCATCGGATGAACTTGAGTTTTGCATCGAAAGTGGTAGTCATCTAGTAGACCTATTCCTCTTATTGCTAGGAAAAAAAATTTTGTAGCGAATGTTTGTGGGTGGGTATTACAATTTAGAACTTTATACTACATGTTTCTGGTATCTTATGTTATTGTGATATTGAACATAGGTGACCCTGAGGTAGAAGAATCTCAATTCTCAGAAGCAGTGTTTGTGAACTATGGTGATAATCCTTTTGATCTTATGAAAGATTCCATGAAGTAAGCCCGTATAGTCCTACTCCATTTTTTGGGGGTTAATTGTGCATAGACCCCCAATAGTTTTGAACTTACACCCTTGTAGTCTCATTGTTGCAGATAGACAATCGAAGTTAAATTCTTTTTGACTCTTTTATTCTGGGTGAAATTTTGGCAGATATTTCCCCTGGGTGAAATTTGCGAGTCTATCTAAGTGTAAAAGATAAAATTTAACCCAAGGGTTCTATATGCGATAATGAAACCGCAGCGCAGTAGGTTCAAAATGAGGATACAACAATGTGCAATAACCCTTGTTTTTTTTTCAAATTATCTTTTATAAAACGTTTTTGTTGTCATGAATGTCACAGAATACTAGAAGAACTAAAGGGTACTTTTTCGCCTCGTGAAAAGAAGAAGGCAAGTAGATGATTCAAGGGTTCTTCTGATTTTATGCTAACTTTAATCATTTTTATCAATTTCATACGCCATAAGATATTTCAATTAAAAATATTTGTTGAGTGAAAAATTTACTATATGTACTGATTTTTTGAATCAGATATATCATATATGTATTGATTTTTTTAATCAGATGCCAGAAATGTTGGACTGGTTTGGTTGGTGCACTTGGGATGCCTTTTATTTTGATGTAAATCCTCAAGGAATTGAACAAGGTCTAAGGAGGTAAATATTCTTTGTTTTCTTTATTTCTCTTATTGTAAAATTGTAAGAATATAGTCGATCCCTATATATTTTTTTTGTGCATTTAGTTTATCATCAGGAGGGACTCCACCAAGATTTCTGATAATAGATGATGGTTGGCAAGATGTAGATAATGAATTCCAGAAAGAAGGTGAACCAATTATTGAAGGTTCTCAGTAAGTTAATTATTTATTTATTTATTTTTATTATCAGAATCCATTTTCATACTCTTAATATTTTCATATATCAATTTGTAGATGGGGAGGAAGGCTAGCAAGCATCAATGAAAACAGCAAATTCAACAGCTCTGCAGGTTTATCAGTTAATGGAGAAATAAATGACATGAAGGACTTCATCACAGCTATTAAAAAGACATTTGGGTTAAAGTATGCAAATTATACATCATGTCATCTCCTTTCTCCATTAAAAATTCTAGGGTTAATTGTAGATAGACCCCCTTGACTATCACCCGGTTATAGATGGATACCCTCTGTAGTTATAATGTGGCAGATAAACCGCCCAGAGTGAAATTTTTTGACTCTTTTACCCTCTGAGAAAGAGAAAATTATTTTACGGTGAAGAGACCTACCGGGGGTAAAAGAGTCACAAAAAAATCACTCAGAGAGTATTTGCAACAACAAAACTATAGGGCATCTATCTACAATTAACCCTTAAATTCTACCCTGATATATGTTTCATAAAATTCTCAGGTACGTGTATGTTTGGCATGCTCTTATGGGGTACTGGGGAGGAGTTCATCCAAATGCACAGAAAACCAAGAAATATAACTCTACGCTACTTTACCCTAGTCAATCTCCTGGAAATCTCGCACATTCAAATGATGCAGCTATGGATAGCATGGATAAATATGGTGTTGCTATGATTGATCCTAACAAAGCATTTGAATTCTATGACGATCTACATAGTTATCTAGTCTCACAAAAGGTTGATGGTGTTAAAGTTGACGTACAAAATATTCTCGAAACTTTGGCGAAAGGTTATGGTGGTCGTGTATCTTTAACTCATCAATTTCAGCAAGCACTCGAGAAATCTATATCGAAAAACTTTAGGGATAATAGCATAATTTGCTGCATGGGTCAGAATACAGACTCTATCTACAGGTAAATGTCACAGTTTTACACTACTTCCTGATTCCAAAACTCATTTGAGAAACATTGTCAATAAGGTAAATTTCACAAAACCCCCCTGAGCTTTGGCAGATTTCTGCACAGAACTCCCTAGCTTTTGTAAGCCATAGAATCTCCCTGAACTTGTCTCACTGAAGTATCAAGACTGACGACAGTTACCTTAAGTTGTCACGTGCGCTGAGAATGTTTGGACAATTTTGGACCTATTTGCTAAATAGAATTTCTATATCACCCCTTTTGCCTGAGGGTATATAAAAATGACCTTTGGCTTTCAGGCCTTTTACTCTGTCCGTTAACACTGTTCACGAGAATCTCCACAGATTCAGGGAATTTAGTATAATTTGAAAGTTCGAGGGGATTTCTGTGATTGTAAAGTTAAGGGGGTTTTGTGCCAAGCCCCTCAAAGTTCAGAGGGTAGCAAATTTACCCTTATTTCTACTAATACGCAAAATTTTGCAGTTCAAAAGTAAGTGCTATCACCAGAGCATCAGATGATTATATGCCAAAAAACGAGACATCGCAAACTTTGCATGTCGCTGCTGTCGCCTTTAATAGCATATTTCTTGGGGAAGTTGTGGTTCCAGATTGGGATATGTTCTATGTAAGGAAGTGATTATGATGTTTCTAAAGTTCGATAATGTTTATATCTCTGAATTGTTGGTGAAGTTTTAGGAATTTGATTTCAGAGCAAACACTACGCAGCGGAGTTTCATGCAGCTGCAAGGGCTTTGGGTGGCTGTGGTGTGTATGTCAGGTAAGCTCATGTGGTTATTTTACATGAATTATGAATCAACTTAATTCATATACATTAACATCTGTATTGTATATTAGTAACCTTTTACCAGTTCAAACTTCAAAGGCAGGTATCTCATTTTAACTCTATGTAAATATTATTTAATACCCGAATAAGAAACAACTCATCAGATTATTGATGATCAAAACAAGTTTCGCTACGAATCCTCAGAAAATTCTACAAACAAATCATTTAATTCCTGAATAAGAACAAGAATAACGACCTAAAAATTTACAGCGACAAGCCAAACGAGCACGACTTCACATTGCTCAGAAAGCTCGTACTCCCCGATGGTTCAGTCCTAAGAGCTAAGTATCCCGGTAGGCCAACCAGAGACTGCTTATTCAATGATCCAGTCACGGACGGTAAAAAGTAAATTTCTACACTTAAACGTATCTGTAGTGTTCATTCACATAGTTTATTCACGTACGGGTATAACTTATCTAATTTCATATTTGCATGTATTCGTCAGTCTTCTAAAGATTTGGAATGTGAATGAGGTTACCGGGGTTCTAGGAGTATTTAACTGTCAAGGAGCAGGGTCATGGTATGGTGTCGATGGCGCTCAAAATACAAGCCCGGAAACTGAAATCAAAGGTTTTGTGAGTCCAAGTGATGTTGAGCATCTTGAAGAAGTTGCAGGAGAGGATTGGACTGGTGATTGTGCTGTTTATTCTTATAATGCTGGTATGCAGATTTTATTTTATTAAAAAAAAGAATCTTTGTGTTCGTAAAGTTTGGAGTGGTGGTTCGATTTCGGTTTATTTTGCAACTTGCAGGTTCTCTACGTAGATGGCCAAAGGATGGGTCATTTGATGTTGCTCTTAAAGTTCTAGAGTCTGAAGTTTTTACAATTTCTCCAATCAAGGTACACTTGCTGAACAAATATTTTTTTTGTTGTTTTACACAAGGACAAATTTCACAAAACCGTCTAAATTTCAGGCATTATTTCCTGAAGGCTACTCATTCATTGTTTGATGCAGAGTTACAACCAAACAATTCAGTTTGCACCCATCGGACTCGTAAAAATGTACAATTCAGGGGGAGCTGTCAAAGCCGTTGAGCTCTCAGGTGAAGATAACTGCCGTCTGCGCATCGAAGGGAGAGGGCCAGGTCTCTTCGGTGCTTATTCAAGCAGAGAACCAAAAACTTGTACGGTGAACTCGAAAGATGTAGGGTTCAACTTTAGCAGCAAGGACAACTTTTTGACGCTAACAATTCCTCTTGGGCGCAAGTCTTGGACATTAGATGTACACTATTGAGGGTCGGTCTGGTCTTCAAACGGAGTTCTGTTACAATTTTTTTCGTATCACTGTGCTGGATGACCTATATAAGTACATTACAGAGTATAAAAGTTCATCATCTAAGAAATGTAAAATGTTCTTGTAAATCTCTGATCTGAGTTTCTGTCGTCGCATATTCTTCTTACTTGTAAGCAGGGGATGGCTTTTCAAATGTGCTCTTCCTGTTTGTGTGAAATTTTATAGCCTGGTTTGGCGATATTCACCCCGCATTGTGGCGTATTTTGTCTTGTGACATTTATAAGCTTTGATTTGATAAATCTGCCTAGAGCGGAAACGACGTATAGAACAATAGAGCTTGAATCACAAGAGAACCTTCAGCTTATAAAGAAGCCCAGGCTGCTAGCGTAGAAGGTTGTTTCAACAACAGGAGGAAAAAGGAGACAACCTTTTTACGATATGAATATTTATAAAGTTGAGGAACAGATTCATTTTTTGGCTGTTTGGACGGTTGAAATAGGGAGAAAAGAAAGAGAGTGATTACATTTTTGCAAGAGAGGAGTATGAGTAACGTTTGCATTTGGTAATTCTGGAAGATTATATATTGAGAGCGAGCGATGCTTAAATTTGATGGTTTAGGGAGGTGATATCGAGTGGTTTCGGGGCGAGTCAAAACTCATGATTTAACCCTAACTCATGTGATAAGTGATTCTTGTGTAGTATGATGGGTGTTGGCATGTTGAGCTACTTTTCAATTCTCAACCATAATAAACAAGTTTGATTGCGGTCCAAGAACCAAACAAGGGAAAAACTTCCAGAACCAACTACCAAGCAAAAGTAGTTAGAATGTAGAGGATAAAATAAGGGAACAAAAAAGAATGCAAGGGATAAAATCATAATACTGACAAATATTAGAAAGCTGAGTTAACAAGTATATTTTCCATAATGCTCACAAAAATTTGCGTTTCAGTACCCAAATCTCATTAACCACATCCCATCCTCCTCGGGTCATCAGAAATACAACTAATGGAAAAGACACCGTCTTGGAAGTTAAAGCATACCCTTTGAGCAAGAGATAATAATACATAACCAGTGCATAAAAACTGAAGTCGAGTTTTAACGACCCCTGCCACGGCCACGTCCACGTCCTCGGCCCCTTCCTCGTCCCAAAGCCCTCCCTGATCCAAGGGGAAGAAGAGGCCATAAATATGATGAAATGACTAAGAAATTCGAGCTAGTTCTTTGAAAAAATCTCACCTAGCATATGACATCTAAAGATACTATAACTTTTTTTCAAAATCTCAAGCTTAGAAAAGGTTAGTTTTAGGGAAATTTTAATAATACTAGCATGAACTGATATGGAACGGTATGGCTTTTGTACAAAACCACCATAAAGTATTTTTATCAGAGAAAAACACCACAAAACTTTCAGGATGGAAAAAGAACTACTATATACCATCAGAAACTATATGAAATCTTTATAATAATACTTGAAACTCCATGGTAGTTATTCAACAATAACATGTAGTGACTTTATCCAAACCATGTTACCGTCATTTAGTAACATAATAAAAGTTCATAGTTCTAGTTCAAGGGGCAGTTTTTTGCAAGTTTTGTCGTCTTTTTCTCTAATAAAATAGTTTATGATATTTTTATGCAAAACCTCTAGTAGTTCATGGAGGTTTTACTTAAATTACATGACGTGGAAAAAAAAAGTTGTCCTGCGCCTGTGTGACCTATCCTACCATGAGATATCAGAATGCTACCCACTTCAACTTCAAGTGCATTAAAAACTAATTTTAAAGTATTTTGACCCAAAATTTCCTAGTATTTTCATACAGAGAATTGTTTCTTGTACTTATCTTTTTATTAAGAGAATCAAACAATTATCATGACCATGGTTAGAAGTTAGAATATACCTGCAGTCGGCTTCTTGGGCTTAACCCTCGGCGTTTCTTCAACCAATAAAGTCTCCAGATTTAAGCTGTCCGGGAGGATGTAGTATCTGATATTGTTTCCTCTAACACTCAAATGATCCAGTGTAACTGGGTTCTTTCCTTTCAGTGTAAGCTTCACTGTCTTCAAATGTGTGTTCATACTGATATCAACTCCTGTAAGAAGCCAAAATATGCAAGGATTAAATATAAGAATTTCATCTCAATAAACACACGCAAATAGCACTCCTCCCGAGCTCAATAAACAAACTACCACCAATGAACAAAGCAATAATGAGAAAACAATCAGAACCTCAGGCATATATGATCTGGGGTACTCATCAATTCTAAAACCAAAATAATCAGTAAAGAATAATTTCTAATTTATACAATCAGTTTCCTGACTATCTATCATTTCATCCCCGAATTTGATGTTCATATAATGAACAGTTTTTAATCTTTATCATTCAAAATTCCCAGTTAGCTCGTAAGCATTTTCTTCAATATGGTAAGGAGCTTCGTGGTACACGAGACTGCCATTTTATGTTTGTTTCCCGCATATTCCCAAGATGAAAACATAGACCAGAACACTGTACAAAGGACTATGTGCTTGTAAGAATTAAATTAGGAGCCACAAGTTGCCATTTTTACAGTAAATGCAATTCTCTTGTGGCCATTTTTTCTGCTAATGCAATTCAGATTTCTATTCCCATAGACTTGTATAGAACTAAATTTCTTCCATGATTAGGATTAATGAAACATTCCAAGAGAATATCAGAGAACAAGTGTTGCTGTAACTATTTAGAAGGCAAAGGCATGTGTCGTGATATATAGAATTCTAGAAAGCTCCCGAGAAGGAGAGGTTCAACTTTTTGAGGTGGATAGGAGGGTTTTAATTTGTATGTGCATGTTGTTTAGGGGCTGTTTGGTTGTTTTCCGAAAAAAATCGGAAATGGAAATGTCACATTTCATTTGCTTTCATCACATTTCAAGACATTTCCCAGTTTTCTTTTTTTCTGTTTGTTTCGCAAAGAAATCACCTCATTTCACCGCCATGTCACACTAAAAACAAAAAAAGCCGCAATAGTAACAGTAGAATAGATTTCCATTTCTTGTGTTTGTTTGTGAACAAAAAAAGAGAAATATAGGTCAGCCGCAATAGTAACAGTAAAATCAGCATTTAAATAATCTGTTTTATTCTCTTATACTATTTCAACAGTGCTTTTATTAATTAAAGATTCATAGAAGTGACATTTCCAAGTGTTTTCAGAGGTTTTTGGTGTGAAAACACATTTCTTAAAATTTGACATGGCATCCTACGTGGCATCTCCCTTTTCTTAAAACTCAAAATGAAACAAACATGTGAAATGGAAAACGGTTGAAACCAAAATCTGAGGTGGCAGGGGGAGATTTCCTCAAAGGTGACATGGCGGGGGGGTTTCTCATTTTTTTTGGGCAAACAAACAGCCCCTTAATGGAAGAAAACCAGGCTGGAGACCCAATGGATGAAATACGTAGAACAATGTGTCCTTTTGCTTCTTCAGTATGAAAACCCCAAAAATGGTTATGAAAAGACCTAACTCTAAAATCTGATCGATGGATGCATCTCCTAACGAGCCAGAGCACAGCACAGTCATAGAGGCCAGTTCGTTTTTATTATTACCGTTGCAGCGGGGGGCTTCACAGACACAGAAAATGTATATACAAGAGTGGAGAATAACAACACTGAATAAACACAGTGAAGACAAAGAGTACAGCACATAAGAATTTAACGTGGTTCGCTCAGTATGACCTACATCCACGGGCGAGAATAACAGTGAACTTCACTAATCACAAAAGAGAAGATTACAAAGAGGAGATCACTCTCTAACCAAAGAATCACACAAATAAAGAGATTTCTCTTTCTATCTATCTCTCTTCTCTCTAACTCTTCTCTGTCCTGATGCATCTGAGCTCTCTCCTACCCTCTTTTATAACCTCTCAAAATTAAAATTAAAATAAAAAATGGTTGGTAGAACAGTAAACTTGGTTGGTGGTATAGTGAACTTGGTTGGTGAGTGTTGAATATTTCAAAGTCGCATGACAAATTTTCACATTGACTTTGAATATGAAGATCTTCTCTTCACTCTTGCTGTCTCGCCAGAAGCCTCTTACGGGCTCAACCTCCGTTTGTTGTACTCCAAGAAATTCGACACAATGCTCGAACTTGCGCAAAGGTACGGGCTTCGTCATCATATCTACTAAATTATTTGCAGTACCAATTTTCTCAATCTTAATGATTTTAATTTCTCTGATAAAATGATATTTGACATCTATATGTTTGGTTTTTTCATGATACATCTAATGCTTCGTCAAATGTATAGCACTCTGGTTGTCACAAAATACCGTAGTAATACCTTGGTGTAAGCCGAGATCTTCAACCAAACCTCTCAACCAAATGGTTTCTTTCACTGCTTCTGTCGCTGCCATATACTTTGTCTCTGTGATAGACAAAGTAAATGTTAACTGTAGAGTTGCCTTCCAATTAATGACACCACCTGAAAGAGTGAATATATAACATGTCAGTGATCGTCTCTTATCCAAATCGCCTGCATAATCTGAATCAGAATAGCCAAGTATTTTACAATCTGAGTTTGTGTTTTTGCCAAAATACAAACCAATATTAGCAGATCCTCTCAAATATCTAAGTATCCATTTCATAGCCTGCCAATGGACCTTTTCAGCCTTATCCATATACTGACTCACAACTCTGACTGCATGTGAAATATCTGGACGAGTGCAAACCATGACATACATAATGCTTCCAACTGCACTAGCATAAGGAAAACAAGACATGTACTGCTCCTCCTCAATCTAAGGTGAAAAATCTGCTAAAAGATGAAAATGAGCAGCAAGCGGAGTCTTCAAAGGCTTGGCATCAAGCATGCTAAATCTCTCCAACACCTTCTTGATATACTTCTCCTGAGATAGGAATTAACTTCCTTCTCACATGTTCATGTGAATCTCCATCCTCAAAATCTTCTTTGCTTCTCCCATGTCCTTCATCTCAAACTCATGTTTGAGTTAAGATTTCAACTCATTGATTTCTAACATATCTTTAGCTGCAATCAACATGTCATCAACGTACAAAAGCAAGTACACAAAAGAACCATCATTGAGCTTTTTATGATAAACGCAACTATCATATTTACTCCTAGAGTAACCATACTCAAACATGAAAGTATTAAATCTCAAATATCACTGTCTCGGAGACTGTTTCAACCTATAAAGAGATTTTTAT